AGGCAATCTTCTTCGATTCCGGTGACAAGGTGCTAAGCTTTCGTCCGTCATATGACGGACATCATCAGAGCAAGGTAACATCATCACAACAAAATTCAAGCTAACGAGTCAAGAAAACTCACCAACAATTCCCTAAAATTGAATTTTGTTGTGGCGATAATACCTTGCTCTGATGATGTCCGTTATATGACCGACGTAAGCTTAGCACCTTTTCACCGGAATCGAAGGAGATTACCTCGGAACCAGCGTCAGCATGAAGCTTCAGGTAAAGCCAATCGACAGCTGGTCAAGAGGAATCCGCCGTCGTCTTCTGGTGGAACCGACCTTCGAATTTCTTCACCCAACACTTTCACTCGAAATGGAAGTGAGCTCAACAATTATGAAACAAGAGATTCCTCAAGACCCAACTTTTCTTCGATGTCAATGAAGCCAGTTCAGCTCGGATGAGAATATTTTTTCTGGGGTAGGGCCAAATAAAAGTTAATGTCCTCTTAGGGCCCAATAGCATCACTATGGTAAAAATCAACTGCCTGTCCTGCGTCAGCTCTCCCAATCCAGGCTCACCAGAACTCTGCTTCGTGATCTGTTGATAGTTTCGAAGCCTACTTATTATCAAGTGAATGACGGATAAGTTGCAGGATGAAGTATTTTAACAGGAAATAGGTAAACATGATCAACATTTGCGGTTGAGAATAAGCTCATATCTAGAAAAGTTAATAAGAAGGATAAACCAAAAAAGAATTACTTAGCCAAGTTCGCACTAGGCGATGAAAGGCGGATAAGTGAGTTATCCCATACCGAAACCTGTACCATTGAGTCAAAGGGCAGATGTGAATTTCAAGGATGGCTACACTTAAATTATTTTATATTTTCTAAATCAATCAGCGATGAAGCAAATTTGTATTTGCCATTACATTCGGCTACAATACTTATATTCAGATTTAGTAGATTTTGAAACTACCAGTAAAGCTGTGTTCATCCCATTTCGCTGAGTGATTAAGGACTTGCAGTAGAATTTTCCCACAATCACCTCCCAAAAGGTGTTTTTATCAAGAAGGAAGTGGACTGCAGTTTTGACCTCGCCTAGGTCTCATCTGCACTACCTGCGGGATTCGAACCATGGCATTGCGGCGTGTAATCTTGGCACATTAGCCGCTACGCAACATTGTCACGAGTGCCCTTGGGTCAGAGGGTACATGGAAAGTTCAAAGAACGAACCTTAGCGTAACTTTTAACGAAATAGAGTCAGCACATCTCATATAACTGATTTAAAGATGGCATCGAAAACTTACTCACAAGGGAAAATAAGTAATGTTGTCGATCGCTATAGCAAATATTTGTTTGTTTCATCTACAATCCCACAACAAAATGTTATATGGCAAAATTCCTGGCCCTCTTTGAAATTAGCATTTGTCCTTTGACCCAAAAGCGCTCGCCACATTGTGGCGTAATGGGTAATGTGTTGAGATTATACACTGCACTGCCATGGTTCGAGTCCACTTGGGTAAGCTAAGGAGACAAATCCAGACGAGGTCAAAACCACAGTTTACTCTGGTCGGAATGAGAATACTTTTTGGGACGCAGGGCTTTATGAAATCCAATGGAACTGTAAAGTCTACTCATATGATTGTGGAAAAATTCAACGATGATTCTTTTATTACCTTAAACGAAAAAGAGTGGACACATTTAAACGCTGTCAGATCAAATGATAGTAAAATTGATATTATGAGTCAGAAAATTAAATCTCCTGTCGAGTCGGTCAACAGTTCATATTTAGGCTCGGTAATCTTGTTACCTGCGCCCCTTGCGGGACTCGAACTCAAGACGACGCGACACTGAATGTATTTGGCGCCCCGTTCATTTTGTTTGAACAAGCGGGTAGAAGGGATTATTCATAAATTGGCCGCATCAGATTCCGAAAGAAGATTTGCTTGAAGCTGCGACTGTTGGATTGTGCAAATAAGAGCCTGGCTTATCGTCCTGCGCCTCCAATACATACGTGCTGAGCTTGCCTCCGTCATGTGACGAAAAATATCGGAGCTAGAAGCCATTATTTATAGAAAATGTTTCCAAAACATTGAATTAAATTCCTTTATTTGGCCTTATTTTTGGTGAATTTTTCGAAAATGATTCATTTTGCCTCTAACAATGTCCGGCAAATGATGGAGGCAAGACCAGCACGAATTCATCGGAGTCGCAGGACGGGGTGCCGAGCTCTTTTATGTCAAATGCTCTTTCGGTATTTGGTGCGGTCACTCTACGAATCCCTTTCACGCGCCATTTTGAACAGAACCAATAGGCAGACTAGCATCAATCAAGTAAGGAAATCTTAGAAACCCAGATTCTCTTCGCATTTGAATACTTCTGGTACTGACTTTTCGACCTGATCGGCGGTGACTGGAGTCGCGCTTCTGCCAGTCGAGGCGAGTCGTCGTCTGTATCGTGCGTCGACTGGGCAACAACCTGTCCGAACTGGACGAAGCAAGAGTAGGCAATCGCGTGGACGTTTAGTTGGTGTGGCGTGGGTGCCGAAAAAACGGGCTAAACGCCGCAACCTGTCATTAGACGAGATGAGGCCGGTTGCTATGGTGTGGGGCTAAAATGGGCGAAAGTTGAGGCGAAGAGACGAAGAGAAATGGTGTGTCAACGGGCGGTGATCGCGACCAACTGGCAGATTTTGCTTCGACGCAATCTGATGCCTTCTCTACAACCTCAAATGACGATTGGGAGTTGTCATTGAGGCGTTGAGATTGAGTTGAATTGCGTAAGCTGGCCCAACATGGAAGCGATGAAGGGGTGGACGGAATCAGGAAGTGTGGGCAAGTTGTTATACAATTATTCATTTTATCCCATTCACACCGGCCAAAGCGGACAAGAACGAGGCTGGACAAATGATTGAATGCGTGTGTACATTTTAAACGATATACATGCATAGCTAGTTGAATATGTATACATATACATAAGATGAACACCTTAGACAAGAGCACATCTACACGTGTTTACAGCCGTTCGCATGTACTCGTCGGCTTCAGTTGCCACCTCGAGTTGTCCGAATTGGGCGCCTTCTTGACCTGGACCCTGGCCCTCCTCTCGATCGCTCATTCCGAATCCAGCCATGCTGTCATTCGGACTTTTGTAAAAATGAGCTCAACTCCAGCATCCGATCCGCCCCGCAGGGTCCTGGCCGCCGGCCAAATGAGATTTTACGCTCCATTTCGTTATCCACTGGTTTATTTAATAAGTGACCCATCCCCTCATCGCATAGCCTCGCGCCTTTGATGCTACCGGAAGCTGTCATTTCTACAGTCAGTCGCAGCCGTCGGTACATTGTCCACACACACACACACACACAGACACACATACACACCTGAACTGGCCCATGAATGAGGGGGGGCATGGAGGCGGAGCAGACGGTGGCTGTTGCCTGGACGGGGGCAAATTCAGCGTCGGTTGCGTAAATCACT